TTGCGCAACGGGAAGAAAGTTTTAAAACGAAGGGAGTACGTAGTATCTCTTAGCCCTACCAAGTTTAACTAGTGAATCTTGTGATTTACTCGGTCTCAATCTTAGCACATTCGGACAGTGCCAGCTGCTAGGTCATGACCAAAGAATACATGTAGTACCAGATCACGAAAAGCTGGTGCTCTCTGCCTTTCACCATTTCGGTGATGATATCCGAATGCTTTTACCTTTAGATCATCATAACTCATATGCAAGCAATTTATACAAATATTACCTCCGTCACGTTATATTCGTCCATTTTTAACTTTTAGAATTGTTCATCAAAGTACTTTGACTCATTAAATTTTCTTAATGTGTAAGCCTAAATATAGTTATTTGTGATCTTGTTTGATTTTTCTTAACATATAGATTATTAATATATAATTTCTATATTTTTTGATATAAAAATTAAAAGATACTCCCTCTATTCCTCATAGATCTTCCCAATAGCTCTTTTTCTTTGTCCACAATAGATTTTCTCATTTCATTTTTTAACAATTAAAATACCACAACTATCCCCACTTACTTTATTTATTACACCTCATCCACCTCATTTAATACACTCCACCCATTTTCATTAAGGGTATTATGGTAAACTTTAACCTTTTTCAACTCTCCTTAAAAACCACAAAAAGTCAAAATGAGAACATCTTAGGGGGACGGAGGGAGTAAAATGGATTAAAGAAGTATATTGGAAGGTGTCTAAAAATGAAAGTACACAAATATTCTTGGACGGAGAGAATACAACTTAAAAATATCACTTTTCCCCAAATAGGATCGGTCTTATTCACTCTAACATTTGGTAATGAAAAGTTCAAAAATGCCCTGTCTTTGAAAATGTGAATGCGAAGTCATTATAAAAGAATGACCTATTACACAATTCAAGTAGAATAAGGCATTATTAAAAATAATCTGAATAGTCATTGAAATCAACAGTCATTATCCAATACTTGTCCCAACACTTGTTCCTAATGACCACATCCGTAGAGTCATTCGTATAATCAGTTCTTATCCAACACTTATTGCTAATGAAGACATATATGACAGATCATATAAAATATGTATAGTAGAGAAAATTGCATACTTGGTCCTATTCAAAGAAATGTACTACATTTTAGTCATATATGAATAAACTTTTCTAATTTTTCCTTCCGCCATATGCATGTTTCATGCTTTAATTTTAGTCATACGCATGCTTTATTTCCATAATCCATAGTAGCGTTTATATTTGTGCTAGTTCCCTTCAAATTAATGAGGGTCGTCCTCACGTCCATTTCTAAGAGTCTAACATTTAGAGATGACAACGACTCGGATGACGGATATGTATGGTTTAATTTTTCAATAAAAATAACAGATAAATACTTTCTCCATTTCTTAAAATAATTGTTCTTTCATTTTTTCTTTCCCTAAAATATTTTAATTTTTTATTAGAAAATCACTTTTATCATTTTGGCGATATACATAACGTTACCTCTACTAGTTTGACAATATTAATAAAAAATGAAAAAAAATATTAAAGAATATAAGATACATTCTAATAACTCAAATAAAAAATATTATCCCCTTGGTTCCCATTACATTGGAACCATGGGTGGCCCGGAGGGTGTGCAAAGTGATCCCGACCCAAACACACCTCACCTCTCTCAATTGTACTCCAAAAGTTGATTTTAATTTTGGAGTCGAATTTTGACTCCAAAGTCAAAATTAACTTGGGGAGTGCAATTGAAGGGAGGTGTGGGAGGGGGGGTGTTCGGGTCAGTGCGGTGTAAGGAGGATTAGGGAGTAAGAACCATCAATTTTACGAACGGTGCATCAGAGCAACTCGGGTCATCCCATGACATTGATTCCCAATGTCATGAAATCTGGTCTCAATAAAGATAAGAAACATAAGACTCTATATGTACTCGATTTAGAAAGGGCATAAATGTCAATGTATGAAAAAAACATAAAGTTGGAGCGCCACTAGTAAATGGTGGGAGATGCTAGGGGTACACCTTTGGTGTACCCCAAATGTACATCACATACTTCAATGCTCCACTATCCATTTTATTTGATTTTAATTTATTTATTTGTTTTCAAATTTCTTGACAATTTATGTGAACAAAGGATGGGAAACATTTTAGGGTGTACCCACTACCCGTACCGTTTTTCGTAGATGGTGGAGTGCGAATATGAACAACCTACTTTAATTCTCCGGGTAACATCATTGCCGGGTAGTAGAAGTATGATGTAGGGACAGCAATGTGGCTCCCCTATCAGGTCTCATACGAAAATTGAAAATGCTAGGTATCAAAAGTGTACTCAAACATCCCCACCCTCCTCCATCACCATACAAAAAGGTAAGAAAAATTCAAAAAAAAAAATAAAAAAATAGAAATAAAATAAAATGAATGGTAAAGAGAGGGTGTGGTGTACATTTGGGATACACCTTTGATGTACCCTAGCATATCCCTATGAAAATATCCAAAAAAATAAATTAAAAAATAAAAGGTCTAACTAGGCTCCGTGTATCAACAAACTACTTTAAGAGCCACACCAAAGGTGTACCCCATTTGTCACCCACCCCTTTCTCAATCACTCATTTTAATCCATTTTTATTTATTTAATTTTTTTTAATTTCTTGCCCATTTTTGTGGTAATGGAGGGGGTGGTGGACAAATGGGGTACATCTTTGGTGTACCCCTAGCATTTTCCCTACTTTAATACTCCCTCCCTCCATCATTTTTTGTCCACATTTTGATTTTTGGAGCTATTCATCTAAGCATTTTGATTTATCAAATTTTCTCAATGTGTAGGCCTAAATATAGTCATGTGTGATCTTATTTTATTTGTCTTAACATATAAATTATCAATATATAATTTTTGTAATTTTTTAATATACAAATTATAAGATAAAATGGATTAAAAAAATACATTAAATAGTATATAAAAATGAAAGTGGACAAAAATTGGGGGACGAAGAGAATATAACATCATTGCAAATATTTGAATTTATGAGATTGAACAATGCATGCAGTGGTGCATTATTACTAGCCTACTAGTTAGATCCACAAAGCTAGTACCCCTTTTACCCATTGGGTGATATCCTTACCAATTCAATGCTTTTACCTTCCGACCAATTGTCTATTTTAGATTTTTTTTTGTCAAAATTGATAAATTTTGCGTCAATTTCAAAATATTATTTTATTTAATTAAAAGATAAAATATATTATATTTAATTATAAGTCAAAGATCAAAAATAATTGACCGAAAAAGTTAAAACTTGATGAATACTTAGTAACAATAAAAAAGTTAAAACAATTGACCTATAGTACTATATAACTATACTACTATAAGCATGTTTTAATTTAATTTACAATAAAAAAGACAATGAGATGTTTCATTTTGAGCTTCCATACCTAGCTAGTACTCTCTATACTAGCCCCTCATATCATTTTCACAAAAAACAAATGTAAAAATAAAAAAAATAATGCATGCTTGATATTTCCCCTTGGGAACACACGTGATAGGAGAGTAAATTACCAACATATGTTTAAAAAAATATCCATTCCTGGTAATGTAAGTCAGACATTGTAGTGCAAGACGGATTTGGCTACTACATTTCTACTCAAAAACTTTAAAAGAAACGGATTAGCCAAATCCGTTTTAGGTTTTTAATTTACTAAATTGAGTAGCGTACTCCGTTTCACATTATTAAAAAAATAAACCCCAAATGGAGTAGCCAAATCCGTTTTGGATGAAATTAAAGACAGACGGAATAGCTTACTCCATCTTGCTATTCGGATAACCCAAACCGGCAAACCCCTTCCCTTCCAAATCTTGTATAAACAACATCATTGAGACAAATTTAACAAAACAATAAAACCAAATACCTATGCACAAATTCAAAATCTTGTATAAACATATCATTGAGACAAATTTAGAAAAAATAAAGGGGAAATAAAATCAAATACCTACGCACAAATTCAAAATCTTGTACTCCCTCGGGAAATAATCTCTAATTTGATTACAAATTGCGGGTTACGAAATAAAATTTTCTACTTTTTAAAATCATTTTATTTACAAATTGGTATATCAATAAAATATATTCCCTCCGTTTGGAAAAAGTGTTCATGTTTTGACTTTGTGTAAAAATAAGGAAGTATTAAATTGTAGTTGACTTCCAATTTTGACCTTGATGTGATAGGTAAAAGTTAGATGTGATGGATAGATTATTAGAGATAAAGTATGATGTGATAGGTAGGTATGAAAAAGTAAGGGTAAAAATGGTTTTTTAATAGAAAGTGGAAGTGTTTTGTTGGAAATAAAAAAAAATGAAAGAAGAAGTGTTTTGAAAAACGGAGGGAGTAAAAATTACTCCCTCCGTCCTAAAACTTTCTTCCCATAGCACTATTCCAACTTTACGGGAATTTATATTTATTTGTGTTTTTTCATGGCCTATATGATAAAATAAAATATTCTTGTCACCACTTGTTTTGTTGAACTTTTGATGTAGTTTTTAAATATGTATCTTTTATTTTTTATTTCCATACCAATATTTAAATAAAATAGATTGAAAAAACTTGGGATTTTTCTTCGTTTTGCGAACCGGGAAGAAAGTTTTAGGACGGAGGGAATACATATTAAAAAACTACGTCAAAAGTTCTACAAAACAAAAGGTGACAAGAATATTTTATTTTATCACATACTTAATGAAATCACGTAAACAAACAAATGTTATCGAAAGATGAGAGAAAAAAATTGTAATCTACTAGGTATTTAGGAACATAGAAATCATTGAGACAAATTTAAAAAAGATTAAGGGAAATAAAATCAAAATCACACTTTTCCTGCGTTTTCTAAGATAGTGAAGGAGTGGATGGGGATGATTTGTAATAATTGAATAGTAGGGTCACACCCTGGCCTGTTGCACTTTTATTTTACATAAATTGGCAATTTTCAACATAGCGTAGAGAAGAGGAAGGAGCAGGATCATCTTCAAACTTACTCCGTACTATTTTATACAGAGTATTTTTTTTTTGACATCTTGGACCGATGTCTAAACTATTGAAAACATTGAAGAAAGGCTTCAGTAGCCTAGGAGCTTCATCTTCAAATTCAAACAGCAAATTTCCCAAGGTATAATTCATAATCCTGTTAAATAAATAAATACTGCTATTTTATTATATATTATCAATTGCAATTCAACAAAATTAAATATAGAACAATCTAGGGCGCTGGGGATTTTGAGGATTATTTTAAGACGGAGATCAAACCTCTCTTAATTGAGAGGTATTCAAAGTACCCACAGCCACCCTCATATGTGTTGCCCAAGGACTCGTTTGTCCAAGGGTACCTTCGCTGCCCGCCGAAGTACAGGACGTTTCTTCTTGATGCTTTAGAACGTAAGCTAATGGCGGTGGAGGATGATGGGGGATCTCTCCCGTGGAATCCCCAGTCCATCCCTAAGACGAGGGGACCAACTAAGGTCATGGTAAGCATCCCACGGAGAATCGAGGATGGCTGGAAAGTCATCCACGTGGACTATGCTTACTGCCCAAGTAATGGAGGAGGGATCGGGGCAGTGATTTTTGATTCGCCTGCCACCCCCGGCTGCATTCCCGACCACATTTGCCAACACTCCTCCACCTCCCCCTCTGATGTTGTACTTGGGGAGGGAGAGGCCTTCATTGAGGCCCTCCTGAAAGCTAGGGCGGATGGAGCCAGGAAAGTGTGGTGTGTGAGCGACTGTAACGCAATTGTGGACTACATCAACGGGAACCGCCAAGCTCCCGAGAAGCACTTGGAGACCGTCTTGTAAGTTAGGTTTCAAAATTAATTAATACTCCGTAGTATTCTTTTGCAGTATAGTTTAATTTGTACATGCTTTTTATGATTAAGTTTTTTTCTTCTTGTAGGAACATCAACGCTTTGCTGGAGAGGTTCGAGGATTTCGAAGTGGTGCATCTGTACCGGGAACGGAACAGCGCAGCAGATTGGTTGGCAGTGGCGGGCCGTAATCGCGGAGGCTTGAGCAAGGTGAGCGGTGAGGAGATAGAAGAGTATAATCATCTCGTGGCGAGCCTCATGGCCCAAGAGCCATGTTTCCCAATCAGATTTTAACAAGGTACGTACTCCCAGATTTTATTCGAGTTGTTCAAAAACACTAGAGGGACATTTTGGTCCATTTTAATATGAAACGTTAGCGGATATAGGAGCACTCTGAGAAAGTCATTGTCTTTTGCTCCCATTTATGTAATTTTCTCAATTCCAAATGGTGAATAACACGTTTGCTGTACACGGAGGATCCCAATCCAAGTAATACTGTGAACAAGTTCTTAATTCAAATGAAATACATCGAGTTATGAATTTGTTGTTTTTTATATAAATCTTTTTAGATATTTTATGAATTGAACTTCAACCATTTTGAACTTATCTCTAAAAATATCCATTTAAATTTAAGATGATAACACGCTTCATTCATTTTACTCATTCCACCTTGTAAAAATCTAAACCTTTTGTGGATGGTATGTAAACATTTTCACAATTTAATTTGCCCCAAAAAATGAAATTTCTTTTGAGAAAAAATGCGGCTCAGATAATTTTCTAATATCTTTAAATATTTACGACATTTATTCACTTTTACGGAGGATGCCTTTGGTCCAGATCTAAGGTTATTTATTACGGAGCATTTTTCAATCTACTTGCATAAAGTAGTTGCAAAACAAAAGGAAGCGGGAAGATAATTAATTGATTTATGGAAGGATGGAGTATTAATTTTAATGTATCTATAAAGTGTTCATCACCCTTAAATAGGCCATACTCCGTATATTTTTGACAACATAGAGTCTAACATATCATGAAGAGGTCCTAGCTAGCTAGTATAGACGAACCAATAATACATGCAATTACCTGTAGGCAATATGAATCTAAACATGTAGCATGCGTTACCCTATATTATTACTAACTTCCATCCCGCTATATTCGTCCACTTTTGACTTTTGGAACTGATCATCTTGTTAGATCCCCACTCCAAACAAATGAAAGAAAAAGAAAAAAAAAAGCACACAATTTTTAACGTGGTTCGGCACCTCAAGACCTACTCCACGACCCCCTCTGTGATAAAATCTCACTAGTAATTTTTGCACGGAAAATTACAAACCCTCTCCAATATTTGACACTCACAACCTAAAATCTAATACACAATTATATAGATTGAAGGATTGTGTTGTGTGATGGAAGCCTATATCTCCTCTTTATTTATAGGCTCCAATCCCTCCTCAATTTTCCTATCCCACCGATGTGGGACTTTGAAGTAACACTCAACAAATCTCCCCTTAATTCAAAGTCCTACATCATTTGCGATTTCTGTAGCGATACNAGCAGCCCTTGCTCTTCATCCTTGATAGTCTCCCCTGCATTTAACAACCTTGATACTTGCTCATTAAACTTGTTGATGTGATCAATTACGCTACCTCCCTCTTCCATCTTCAGTGAGTACAAGTCCATCCTCATCATCAACCGGTTAGTAAGTGTCTTCGACGCAAACTTGCTCTCCAACGTTTCCCACAGCTTCTTTGGTGATGTCTCTTTCAACACTGTCACTTTAATATGTGGAGACAGTGCCAACCGAATTGCGCTGACAGCCTTCTTCTGGATTGTACTCCACTCTGATTCTTTCATATCACTTGGCTTCTCATCTTGCAATGCTAAATCAAGACCTTGCTGGACCAAATAGTCTTGAATCGTGCATTGCCACAACATGAAGTCCGCTCTTCCATCAAATAACAGAACTTCAAACTTCAAGGTAGTCATAATTTCACTCAAGCAACAATCAACCAATACCAAACAATCCAAATTTGAGGAAACTGGCCTAAAAAATGGAATCAGGACGTCAAAATTAGTCAGAACCAACTTCTCTCCGAAAGTCACCAGCGGAACCCACACGATGACTGGACCTACTGATGTGGCGCTGACAGGATGATGACCTGGCACTTGGACCCACAGACTGCTGACGTGGCACTCACGGACCCACCTCTGCTGACTGGACCACCACCTCCTCCACTGAAGTGGCACGCCCTCCTCTTGCTCCTTGCTCTATCTCCTTCTTTCCTAGACTGCAACTCTGTAATTAATAATTCTTTTCTGATGTGGAAGATCAGTCAAAGCTGCAACCACAGAGCATACAACAACAACAACAACCCACTTAAATCCCACAAGAGTAGGGTCTGGGGAGGGTGTGTGTACGCAGACCTTGCTCCTACTTGAAAGTAGAGAGGTTGTTTCCAAAGAGACCCCCGGCTCAACATCGAAAGTTGCATTGCTTGACTAACTGCTACTTCATTAATTAAAGAAGCGCAGATAGTTTAGAAATCCATTTTGATTTATTCCATCACAACCCCAAGGCCAAAAAATGGTGAAATTTTGGCTCCATCGGAGATGATGGAAACAAACCACAGAGCATATTAAGAATTATAATTACCCGATCACCCGAGCTCTGCACCTTGGCTCCGATACCACTTGTTAGGTCCCCACTCCAAACAAATGAAAGAAAAAGAAAAAAAAAGAGCACACAATTTTTAACGTGGTTCGGCACCTCAAGACCTACTCCACGACCCCCTCTGGGATAAAATCTCACTAGTAATTTTTGCACGGAAAAATTACAAACCCTCTCCAATATTTGACACTCACAACCTAAAATCTAATACACAATTATATAGATTGAAGGATTGTGTTGTGTGATGGAAGCCTATATCTCCT